GGTGGGAGGATTGCTTGCGCTCGGGAGCCAGAGGTTACAATGAGCTGAGATTATGCCACTGCACTCCAGCCTGTCCAGTGACAGTGAGACCCCATCCCCACTCCCCTACCAAAAAAAAAATTGCCTACCCCAAGATCATGATGATATTTTTTGTTAACTTCTGGTAATATTATTGTTTACGTTTCAAATTTGTGACTATAATTCATCTTGAATTAATTTTTGTATATGATATAAGACAGGGGTAAGTGTTCTTTTTTTCACATATATCACCAAAAAAAAATTTTTTTAAGACGGGGTCTCGCTCTGTCGCCCAGGCTAGAGTGCAGTGGCATGACCTTGGCTCACTGCAGCCTCGACCTCCCAGGCTCAAGCAATTCTCCTGCCTCAGCTTCCCGAGCAGCTGAGATGACAGGCACACGCCACCAGGCCCACCTAATTTTTTGTATTTTTTGTACAGATGGGGTTTCACCATGTTGCCCAGGCTGGTCATGAACTCCTGAGCTCAAGCGACTGGCCCAACTTGGCCTCTCAAAGTGCTGGAATTACATGCCTGAGCCACCATGCCTGGCCTTTATTACCCAATTTTTTTTTTTTTTTTTTTGAGATGGAGTTTCACTCTGTCACCCAGGCTGGAGTGCAATGGCATGGTCTCAGCTCACTGCATCCTCCACCTCCAGGTTTCAAATGATTCTCCCACCTCAGCCTCCCAAGTGGTTGGGACTACAGGCGTGTGCTACCATACCCGGTTAATTTTTGTATTTTTAGTAGAGACAAGGTTTCACCATGTTGGCCAGGCTAGTCTCGAACTCCTGACCTTGTGAACCTCCTGCCTCCGCCTCCCAAAGTGCTGGGATTACAGGCGTGAGCCACTGTGCCTAGCCTATATTACCCAATTTTAACTTATAGCACACACATAGTTTACAAAGAATCCTTCTAAAAAACCATTGACTGAAGAGAACAACAATGACAGCACAAGTCAGCAAAAAGAAAACATCAGAACCCTCACTGCTCCTCCTCCTGGGGGTAAGGTCTTCCTTCACTACATAATGAAATAAAAGCTGTAACAGGTTAATTGAATCTGACAAGAAATTAGCCAAAAAAGGCAGAAGGAGCGGTTGGTATCTTTTCAAGATTTTCGAAACAAGGTTTTAGATACATTATCATTAAAACAGAATTCAAAGTATGAATCCATGATAATCAGCAAGACATGTATCCAATGAGAACAGGAAAAAAAACTTCCAGGCTGTTTTCACTGAGGGAGAAATTGATCTCACTGAAATTAATGATAAAAGTTGAGAAGCTTCTCCGTAAGTTTTATAACATACAATACATAAGTATATGTATATATAATTTATAAATAAATAAAGGTATTTTGGGTTATGTGATCATGATAGCTTTCCTGGTAGTTATGTGTTTGTAATTAAAAACAATTATATGGTGGCTCACGCTTGTAATCCCAGCACTTTGCGGGGGCCGAGGTGGGTGGATCACCTGAAGTCAGAAGTTTGAGATCAGCCTGACCCACATGGCGAAAATTTTAAAAATACAAAAATTAGCTGGGCATGATGGTGCTCACCTGTAATCCCAGCTACTCAGGAGGCTGAGGCACAAGAACTGCTTGAACCTTGGAGGCTGAGGTTGTGGTGAGCCAAGATCGTGCCACTGCGCTTCAGCCTGTGTGACAGAACGAGACTCTGTCTCAAAAAAATAAAAAATAAATAAAAACAATCATAGACCAGCAACCTAGGGGATGGCCTTTGGGCCTGGGCACAGCACTTTAAAACTTGGACAAACCAGAATGCTTCCACCTTGGTAGTGGAGGGGACAGGTGGGGACCAAGATGCTGAGGGGGGGTTGATGTTATGTCATCACCATCCAAAACACACTGTAAGGCCCTGGCGCTGTCTCTGCTGGAGAAGAGAAAGAGGTTAGGAGAGGGAAAAGCATGAATCTTACGTCTATAATATTATATAAAGAGCAGAGCAAGAATAAAATAGGAGGAATATCCACGAGGAAAGTTCTTCAAAGGGCACAGTAACAAAAACTAATTAATATCACTTCCTGTGTATCCACTACATGTCAGACACAGTGCTAGGCACACTTCGTTTATTTTTCATTCCTTGCAGCGCCTCTTGAGATATGGGTATTTTCTTTTTTT